CTCGGCTAGCTGAGGTTAGGCGGTCACGCGAGGCGTCCCTGCGTGACTCGGTCAACTAAGATCCAACCGCCCTCTCTATTCTCTTGGGGTCGGTTGGGAGGATTATTTAGTATAAAAAGACATCTCCTTGTCTTGTTAGGACATCTACACTTTATCTCACTGTTACACTCCTTGTAATTCCCCTACAAAAGATTATTAATACAACAATTGTCCCCGCGACATATACATTCATTGCTTTTTCCTATTTATTATTTATCGGGTTTAGTGATTCGGGTCGACCCCGGAGAATTAAATCCATCAAAGTGTTTGGCAAAAGTTTGAGAGAGAGAGAGAGAGAGAGAGAGAGAGAGAGAGAGTTCATATGAGAGAAAATTAGAATTTTTCGAAGTGTCAATACTTCTAAAAGAATGGAATTCAATTCATTAGGAATTCTACCCAACACAAGTTATTTATAAGAGAATGAAATTCATTAGCATTTATATAATTTAACTAGCATTTTGTACGCGCAAAAAATTTATGCCCAATATTAAAATATTTGTAAGTAACAAAATTTAAAAAATTAGTTAAAATTATGTTTCGCAATTTCTTAAAGTGATGATACTTTCGAATTATCATATATTTGAATAATATAGTGATCCAAACAAAAAATATATATTTTTATATAATAATAATTTACAAATAATACTAAGCTAACACCCACATATATAATATATTGATATGGATACACAAATAATATACATACATATTATATATATATATATATATATATATATATATGATACACATATATAATTTAACATTCATATAAATATTTAATTAAAATATAATTTATAATTAAATTAATTGTTATATGATTATTTTAATAAAATGATAATTAAAAATAGGAAAAAGATATGATAGATGTAGGTGTATGGTAAGATTGGTAGATATATTAACTAACGGTGTTATAACGGTGTAAGGGTGATTTTGTCCAATGCAAATGAATGTACAACAATTAAAGCAAAATGTATATACTTATTAGCATATAAAAAAGGGACAAAAATCAAGGACATAACTTGTATTTACACTTATTATGTTTGGAGTTAAATGATCATATAATTATTAAAATCCAAATTGTAACTTTCAAAACTCTCAAACTAACAAGAATAAGTATGATTCGATATTACAATGTTAATTATTGGATAAATTGAAATTAATCATGAATTCATGATTAATTGCTAAAGTAATCAGAATTAACTCAACATTTCCAATTCGTTGTAGCAACAAAGAATATATAGTAGTGAAAGATAAGAACAGCAAGCAATACAACGCGCTATAAGAGTTACCTTTACTACGTACCACAATAACAAAGTAGCTTAGCTGCTCCTCCTAAGCAGTAAGGCTTCACAAACCCTCCCTTATTGCTCAGCAACAAGGCTTCACGAAGCCTCCTTTACTACTTACCAGTAAAGCTTCAATGTTTATTGTCTCTCAACCTTTTACTTGGGAAAAAATTAAAAATTTGTCAAAATCTTAGCTTGCCCAGGTAGCGGGAGCACACAATTAAGTTCAAGTTTTTCAAGTTTATTTTGGGATTTGATTTAAACCCCCGTCCCAACACGCGGGAGAGAGAGTCTATATGCTACACAATTCAAACTCCTTAAAAAGTTGAATTGTATTTATACTAGTAACTAGTAAAAACTCATATCCTTGTTCAATTTGAGACAAAAGCTACTTAAAATCTTTCTCCAAACTTCATTTTTCTCAACTCAATTGGTACATTTTAAAAATTAATTTTTAATTCATCAATTATCCATTTTGAGCATATAATCTATCAAATTCACCCTCTCAATTAGGAGAATCCAAATCCAATTTGATCATAACCATATTAGAAGTAGACCCCACTCAAAATTATACCTCAAAATGACCACTTATAATGTCAATTTTTCGAGACTGGAAAAATGACACAATAGTGTTCAGTTCTCATTGGTGCAGTCAGGGACGGAGCTAGAAAATTAATTGAGCGGGGCCGAAAAAATGGCGATAGAAATGTCAATTACAAAATATCAAACCTTCATAATAAGGTTAAAATGCAAAATACTTTATAAATTACAATATAATGTTTTATAGATTACACGATAGTTAGAGTCGGAGCAAAAAATATACTTGTGTGCGGTAAAAATGTGAAAATATTTATGATAAAATATATGAAACATAATTCATTAGATAAAAAATTTTGAATAACACTATATTCATAAATACTTTTAAATTTTAAATTTTTTAGTTAGATCAACTTTAAGTTTTTTCTAAATTAATTTGAATACAATGAAGTAGATCAACTAGTAAATTAATTCGAATAAATTTATATGAAGTATAATATAAACTTGTGCATTACATTAATTAAATGATTCATAAAAGTAGACTAAAAAAATATTTAATTTATCTTGAAAAGGAATGAAAGAGATAAAATAAACAAGTGTTGTTAATGAGTTTTGAACCCATGATTATATACTTTTTATTAAAATCAAATTTGGAGTTCAACCAACTAAACTACTCAAACAATTAATATATTAAACATAAATATAAATTTTATATAACATTTAATGCTATATATATATATATATATATATATATATATATATATATATATATATATATATATATATATGTATATATATATATATACATACATACATACATACATACATACATACATACATATAAAGGGGTGGGGTGAGGGGGGAGTGGGGGCAGCTGTCCCCACTGCCCCCAGGCTAGCTCCGTCCATGGGTGCAGTGTGTCCGTTTTGACTATGGAACACCTCACCTAATTTTGCGAGAGTTTCTAAAGAGTTGAGCCCATACAATTTTCCTTTAAAAGAGCTCACTTCTGATCTCTTACATAGTGATTTTTTTTCCCATGAGTATCCATCATGCTCCACTCATGTCATTCGACATTTAGATTCATTAAAGCATTCATACATGCTAAACTTGGTGTATAAGTCACTATTTGAACCAATTAAGTGTTGGTTGAAGTTCGAGACTCCAATCGTGTAAATTTACAAAATTCATAAACAATGAACACTAGATGAAGCAGTTCGTGAGCATGCACGCACCAGGGGAACGCTAGATGGTGTGTGGTGCATGTGGCTGGCTAGTTGGGATTAGCATGGGTCACGACTAATATGACAGGTCAACGGTTGAGAGCGAAGGACTCAGGAAGAAGCGGTCCGTGAACATGCACTGAAAAACGCTAGATGGTGCATGGTGCATGTGTAGCTGGCCAGTTGGGATGAGCATGAGTTTGTGGCCGGTATGATAGGTCAACGGCTGAGGGCGAATGGCTCAGAATGAAGTAGCTAGTGGGTTGTGAACATGCTGTGGGAAACGCTAGATGGTGCGTGATGCAAGTGGCTAGCCAGTTGGGATGAACATGAGTTGTTGTCGGTATGTAAGCAAATGTACTTTTTATTTATATATGGTCCACACAGAATAATGATTGCCTATTATAGGCTCAGACTTGAGGCTAAAAAATTGCTTACGACCAAGCTCAAGTCTCAAGTTCTCATAGCAGATTCATGCCTAATTTTTCAAAGTTCGCGAGACTTAACTTATTTTCATCCCTACACCTACTCTCCCTTTAACAAATATAAAATGAAAAAAAAAAACAAAACAAAACAAAACACAAAAACAAAAAATAGAGCAAACAAAAGAAAAAATTTAATCAATTAATTAATTTGATGACTGCTGACTTTAAATTTGTGAATCGCATCTCGAAAATGTTAATCAACGGCGTTCCAATAGGCAATACGTAGAACTGTCCAGATATTCAATGTCTTACGGAATATTTTATATCCTTTTTCCAAATCTAAAATGTAATAATTTTTTAATATATTTTTTTAATTACATTTTTCCAATCTCAAATGTAATATTATATATTTAAACAAAAATATTACATATTTAAGGTCGAGTATAAAATTGTGTCACGCAAGAGCAATCATACGATATTATAGAGAAGTTTATAATAGAGGTTGATGGTAAATATCCCCTGCTCGTGCGGCCCTAGACTAGTTCGGAACATTTGAGGTAGACCATGTAGGCCACGTCTCGAGCAAATCCGACCCGAGTTCAGGTATAAATTCGCCCCCGCTCTGATATTGCTCGTTACAGGTCTCATGCCTTGCGCTCGAGATTAAATTCCCAAGCTTAGTGCTCGGACCGGCCACCCCAAATATGACACTCCGTACATTAGAAGATAAACGTCATTGCACCGTTCCCCCATCATCCTGTTTCAATGCAAATGTCAAGAATTACCCCACACGTGGACCTATTAGAAGCACCACCGGCCATACCCCGTGCATGTGAGACACGTGCAGTGGTGGGCATGGCGAACACCCGTCATGTGTCTCCTTCATATATATTTCTATATATAGCACATTTGATACTCTAGTGGAGGGACTTTTGGACTTTCTCATTAATTAGTAATACATTTTAGCTCGGGAACGTCTGACCCACTGTCTAAATTACCCAAGCTTGTATACATACACCGTATATACACATCCCAGTGTATTTACCACATCATTTTGACGTCGGGAGACTAGTACATATAAACCAAATTACTAAAAAAAAACCCAAATAGTGCTGAATACTCGGCCTGATTACAGTACTGGTAAATCCCTAAGGTCAAGCTTGCTCTAAGCCAATTTTCAAACATGAAAAGATAAATAAATATATACACCTTTGTTTGCTGGGAACATGATCCATGCATAATATAATCTATTCAAACCCCAGATTTGGGGTTATCTTCTGCCATATTTTAACATTATCTTGTCCACGAAGTCTTCTTTATATTCGTTAATTTTAAGTTATATGTTTTTATAATATAGTGTTGATTGACTAAATTTGTTCTTCTCAACTCCCCTTAGTCAAAATTTCTACACAGCCCTTTTGATGTATGAACAAGTCAAGTATGCATAGTGGTATTTCCCCCACTATAAATAGGTACCGTTTCTTCACTTAATCTCACCACAACTCACAATCATTAATCCATTAATTGTAGACAGAAGCAAATATATACATATAGGCATGCCAAAGTCTTACACAACATTTGTTGCCCTTCTTTTCTGCTTCCTCCTCATTGCATCAACTGGTACGTAACCACTACAATAATATAATGTACTCAATTTGGAAGAAATCATTTCTTTTTTATATTCTTTTCATTTATTACCTCTTTATTTCTTTATATACTGCAACCACATTTTCGAGAGAGTCACCATTAAATATAATTGGCTATTATATACCATTTGTTAAGATCAAACGTTTACTAGTACGTCAAAAGTTATAGCTCAACAATCCCTCTAGACACCAACTGCTAGATTTAAATACCTATAGGTATAACTCCCTCTTATTAACATCCCTATAGCTATAGCTCCTTAAATACCGTCACCACATTTTTTTGAGAGGTAGGATGCTAGACTTGACCATTTACTGGCCTCCACCAAACAATATAAACCCCCTAGCCACCAACTGCTGAACTTAAATACCTATAGCTATAGCTCCCTCTTGTTAAGATTCCTATAGCTATAGCTCCTTAAATACCGTTACCACATTTTTGAGTGACAGGACACCAGACTTGACCTTCACCGACCTAAACTCAACAATATAATCCCTCTAGCCACCATTTGCTAGACTTAAATACCTATAGCTATAGCTCCCTAGCTCTTATTAAGATCCCTATAGCTATAGCTTCTTAATACTATAGGCAAGATGCTAGACTTAACCCTTCTCCGTCCTCCGATCAGCCTAACAATCCACATAATCACCAACGGCTGGACTTGACCCTTTATCGGTGGCCTCCACCCAACTTATTATTATTTAATTAGATATTTAGAGATGGAATTAATTAACTATGTTGGTAGTAATAGTTGTTAGAGATTTGGAGATGCAGAGGTAGAAGTGGGTGAAGCTAAGGTGTGCCAGAAGCGCAGCAAGACATGGACGGGTCCGTGCATCGTTACCGGCAACTGTAGCCGGCAGTGCAAGAAGATCGAAGGCGCCACATTCGGGGCGTGTCACAGGAGCGGTTTTGGATTTGCTTGCTTCTGCTATTTCAAGTGCTAATCTAGCTCATCAATTCATCCAATATGCATGCATGCATGCTTCTTAATCAATGTTCTTTTAATTTCCAATAATATATCCTGCTAAGAGTTATTGTGAGCCTTTTGTTAGTTGTGTCAGGCCGCCAGGCCGGTGTGGGAATAAGACTGCTACTTAGCTTAATTGGTTATCTCTATCACTACGATACAAGGAATTATAAGTAGCAGATCGAATGTAATATTTAGTTTCACTGTTTAATTTGGTTTTTCTATAGTCACGTACTCTTTGCTGGTGTGACGGTTTACTGGTTGACTTGAGCTCTCGTTTTAGTCTTAATCATATTATTATCATCTCAATTCTCATGTATTACTACGTTAATAATTTACAAGTATTTCAACCTTAAATTATAAGACGTTTGTAATTTTACCAGTATATATATGCAGATAAAAATGTAGGCAATGAGTTTCAAGAATTAAAGTACTATTCAATAATAATAATAATAATAATTAAAGTACTATTAAAATAAAAATGGTCAAACAAGCAACTAAGCAAGACATAAAATTTGTATGAGACCGGGTCCTTGTTAGTGAGACGGTCGGGTCAATATTAAATGTTGTAATACTAAATCATGAATAAAATGTTTATTACGAAACGTTATGCTGCGGAGTCATGCCCACCTTGCATGCTAGGTGAGCAAGGTTCCATATACATAATTTCTTTACTGTAGATTCATAATTTTTATACTGTAGATTCATAAAATCTATACTTCAGATTCATAATTTCTATACAGTAGATTCATAATTTCTATACTGCAGATTCATAATTTATGTACTGTAGATTTATAAATTTTGTACTGTAGATTCATAATTTCTAAACTGTATAGTTATCAAATTATGAACATGTAGTTCTGTGAGTTGTAAAAACAGAGTTCAAGAATATGAACATCGAAAATTATGAACATATAGCTCTATAATTATGAATCTACAGTATAGAAATTATGGATATGGAACCGTGCCCACCTTGCAAGGTGGACACATTTCCATGGCATAATTTGCTGTTTATTACTTATATGAAAAATACAATATTTTTGAAAGAAAATGTAATACTTTTATATTTTGATGGAAAATATAAAATGAATTACTTATAAGTAAAAATATAATACTTTTGATTTAAAAAAAAAAAGTACAATACTTTTACATCAAAATATAAGAGTATTATATCTGTCTTCAAAAGCATTACATTTTTCCTTATAAGTAACAAAAACTTTATTTCTAATTAATATTACATTTACTAGGATCCGTTAGACGTACTCACACAAGTGTGACCTAAAAATACAATTAGGTCTTTAAATTGAAAAAAAAAAAAAACGAATGAACAATTCTAAAATTGTGCACCCGTAAACAAAGTATAATTTTAAAATAGAGTTAATTCCGTAAACAAAGTATAATTTTAAAATAGAGTTAATTATATTTTTAGTTTTATGACTATTGAGTGTTATTAATTTGAGTTCACAACTTTCAAAACTAACAATATGATTTAATACTCTTTTTTTTTTTTTTAAAGCTACTGGCTCTATTACATTGTAGTATCTGTTCATATACTTACACTTTCTCGACCTACTGAAACACAAAGAACCAATAACGCCTTCACTGAGGCTCGAACTCATAATCTTCTAAATAGAAGTCCAACCCGGGTACCATTAGACCACATGGTCCTAGTATATGATTTAATACTCTAATTATTTAATTTTTATCAATTTTAGTTGGCAAATTGTCACTGGAATCTCTTAATACAGCTTAATTTTTTTTTAATGACGGGGCAATACTATCATTCCATGTTAAAATGAAAAGGGAAAAGTGAAAACCCCGCCAATCTCTCTAGCCTCAGGGATTGACATGACCCATTTCAGGGACAAATTAAAGATCCCAAATTATTCTATGGACTTGGATCCACCTTGCAAGGTGGACGCGGGTCTAAATGTTCACCATTTATATACTAAATGTTCACAATTTACCTTTTAAAAGTTCACAATTTGTATACTACGAGCACACAATGCTAACATATATATAATTGATTACCTTGTTTTGCAGTCACATAATATTAACAGATTAGGATTTGATGACCCTGACAGATGTGATGTGTTTTGACTTAGAAACACAATTTATATTTTAGATGCTCATAATTCTAATACTAAAAATACACAATTTATACGTCGTTTAGGACCCGGGTTCACCTTATCCATGGCATAATAACTCATTAAAGATTAATGATATAGTCCCATACAAGTTTTTGCATATATAATTGGTACTAGCTAGCTATCTGCTGGATTTTCTTCGCGCACAAAGCTTCTTATTTGTAGTAAAAAAAAATATGTTATCTTGTTTTTGGGTTGAGAAAAAACAACAAGAACTTGAATTTGCTATGCTCAAATCTGGCAATAAAAAGACAAGTAATCGTATGTTGGGAAAGAATCCTCGTTAGTCAACCATAATTCCTACCGTCCTCGTGGTTATCAAGGTCCACTTCACCAACAATACACAAATTAAACAGATCAACGTACACTTGTTACTAGTACCCATCGAATCTGTCATCATTTGGTTATTACAGAATACAGATACAAACAAATAGATGCACAGATCAGAGGTATATTCATTAAATGCAGCAAAACGATATGATGCATGGATACAAACATATGTACATTAAAATTAACGATAGTATTACTGTCATTTTAGAATGGTGCATGGCATTCCTTCAATATAAATACATAACATTTCCTCACTTAGTGTCACCACAAATAACAAGCGTTACTAGTCCATTGAGCGTCGTAATTAAGCTCCAGCAAATACATACATTATTGATAGAAATGGCAAAATCAAAATCTTACACAATATTTGTTGCTCTCCTTTTCTGCTTCCTCATTTCATCCACAGGTGAGTAATCCCTACAATTTATATATATAATGATTCAAATGAGGACAGGGCTTCTCGTGGTCCGTGTGGATTGCACCATTAGGTATGCATAAATACACTATACAGTGTTTGAAAATGCACAAGTGTACCCAAAAATGCACCACGCACCAAAAAAACCACCGCACCTAATGGTGCATTTTTGAACACTTTGTGGTGCATTTATGCGTACCTAATGGTGCCTGACCGCATAGGAAACATTGTCCGTACGTAATCCTGAACACAAACACACACACACACACACACATATATATATATATATATATATATATATATATATATATATATATATATATATATATATATATATATATATATATATATATAGTACGTGTTTGAACCAGGGTTGTAAAAATCGGTTTAGGCGCTAGGCGCCTCTAGACTGTGGCGATTTCCCCTCTAGGCGCCCGCCTAGCGCTTAACTCGGCCCATTTAGCTGCCTAGCGTCTAAGTTAGTCGAGTTAACTCGTCCATTTCGGTTGAGTTAACCCGATCGGCTCGGCCTATTTTTTTATTATGTGTGTGTGCGCGCGCGCATACATATATATAATATGACATATATACATTCGTAGACTAATTTGATATTTAGAATCTTTGGATGATTGAAGTATTTGAGTATTTTTAAATTTTAATATTGTTTTAATGTTTTTTAAAACAATTGTTTTGATGTTATGACTTATGAATTATCATTAATTCATTCATTTGGATGTGTTATTTGATTAAATGTTGAAAACAACCCCATTAAAATTGTCAAACTGTAAGTCTACCACTGTTTTTTTGGCGCCCGCCTAGGCGCTAGGCGCTGTCCGGGCGCCGGACTAGCGCCTAGCGCTTACTGCAACCATGGTTTGTACTAACGTAGAGGTGGTGTTACAGATGCATGTGCTCCAGCAGCTGCTCCAAGTCCAATAGAGAGTGGGAGTGAAGGGGGTGAAGAAAATTTGTGCGAAAAGATGAGTATAACGTGGTCTGGGCAGTGCTTCATTAGCGGCAACTGTAACGACCAATGTAAGAATTTAGAAGGTGCGGTATACGGGGCTTGTCACTGGAATGGCTTGGCTGGATTTTCTTGCTACTGCTATTTCAACTGCTGATTCCATCCAATTCAAATTCAAATATATATTATACATAATTCCCACCCCATCCATTTCTTCCAATAAAACTGTGCAATATTTCTATCATCACAATCAATTCTACTTGATTGGCACAAAGTAATAATATGTATTATATTGTATGTGTGTCTGATTTTTATTTTTATTTTTTCTTATTTTATGTATAGCCTAAGTCTTTGGTGGGTTGGTGGTACGTATAGTATAATATAATATAATGTGTGTACTGTGTTCTCTATTTTATCTTTCTAAGTGTATGATCTATGCAGTATTTCTACGCAAAGTTGGTGGATGATGCAAGTATAAGGTGAGTGGGTGAAATATTTTCGCTCCGATTAGGAGTTATGTCCCAATTATTCATGCAATTATAAGAACTCTAGATACCATACCAAGGTCGAATATATATCAACAAGAAGCTAATTAAGCATGACGATATGAAGCGTTTGATCACACAATCAATGCTTTGGATATTTACAAAAGAATTGACTACAAAAGTCTAATTAACTCAATGAGAAAAATGGAGGAGCTCGAGCTAGGAAATCCTTAGTGATATACAAAAGTCTAACTCGATTTCGAAATTGGATTCCTAGATGCCCTGGAATAAGGATTAGGGTTATACAAGTCTAACCTAGGCGCGCTAAAGATGAAAATGCACATAAGAACCACAATATAAACGCCTTTTTTATGGGGTGTTTACCCTGTGATTTAGTACTCGAGTTACCTCATTTCCAAGATGGATCGCTCCTAAACCAATAAGTACACTAAACATGAAGTCCCCAAGTCCTTCACTTTCATGGCGAACATAGAGTTTGTGCAAGTGTGGCATGGAGCTCCAATCCAACTCTCATTGAATTGAATCTCCTCCTAAGCATGCTAATGAATGTATGTGGCTAGCAAACACTAACAATATAATGAAAATCAATCAACAATACCCAAACATCAAATAGTCCTAATTATGCAATTCCACCCTCTTATGCAATTTGTCAATGAATTAGCATCTAGAAAGATCAAATTCCTCTAGCTCATGTCCCTAGAACAACTACTCACACATACATATCTAAACATTGATCAGGAGAAATCAGCAAATACAATGCATACATGGCTAAGAACTTGAGAATGAAGCGAAGAAATTTCGATTATATTTTTAGATGAAATTAAAGTAGAATGTAGATTTTCAATCTAACAATGAATTCCTTGCTTACAAATGTTTAGATACAATCTAGATGTCAAATCTATGTCTAATCTAGGATAATTGCTTAGAAGATGAGAGAGAGAGAGAGAGAATTAGGATCGATCTCATATGGAAAAATTGCCAAAATAACTTAATTACTATTCCATCTGTCACATTTTATGTGTCGGGTTCGGTTAACGGGGCTTAACTAGACTTATTTTTAATTCAATTTTTCATAATATTAAGTTTATTATTAGTATACAATATTTATATATTTAGAAACTACATTAAAAATACTATTAAACACAAAAAATCAAATTTAAAAATAAGTAAAAAATACTAAAGAAAATAAACAAAGAATAAATAGTTGGTTTGACCAATGAATAGTAAGTAGGACAGATAAAATGTGACAGAATATATCTTATGCAAATTTATTGATCCACGCAAAAATAGAATCAATTAATTTCATTATTGGTGCTTTCATTGATTGCTTTTCGCATTTGAAATAATTTTAATTTCAAATCTCAATAATCAAATTTCAACTTGAATTGATGTGAAACATTCCTTGAGCTAGCTTGAGCCAAATTATTTCAAAATAAATATTTTAGGGTCAAATTGAATACCCCATTGACGCCAAGCACCTTGTGCTCATATGACATGTAGTGACCTCTCTCATATGGGAGGTCATGAGATCGAGCCTCACTGGAGGTGTTCTTGACTCTTTGTGCAAGAATATCCCATTGACTCGTAACAAATGCATGACACCAACAGCTATATATACTTAATTGATTCACGTTATGTGAGATTTATTAAAATTTGATCGAGAAGCAACCTCGTTCGCAAGACACATCTGCCGAAAACCATATATACGTATGCAAAACTATATATTCTCAGGGTGTCCACTTCATCATACGTGGCAATAAAAACACAAGTACGTTGACAAAGAATCCTCGTTTAATCATAATTCATATCGTCATCCTCGTTATCAAGGTCCACTTCGGCACTCAAATTATATTAAATAGATCATCACTTATTACTAGAGCCTGTCATTTGGTTTTTACGTACAAATACACACAAATAGAGACAAATAGAGACAATATGCGCACAAATGGTAGCAAAGTGATGCATGGATCGGATGAATATAAAATTAACTCGATATAGCATATTCGTATAATGTTTGATTGGTAGCATTCCGGCCTTCAATATAAATACCCAACATTTCCTCACTTGATGTCACCGTACCGTAGATAACATAAGCTGCAGCAAAATATACATATACAAAAAATGGCAAAATCTTACACAACATTTGTTACTCTTCTTTTCTGCTTCCTCATTACCTATACAGGTGAGTTTCCCACAATTTGCAATTTCTAATACTCAATATAATATGTAACTAAGCAATCCAGCAATAAGAAATATAATTTGAATTGGTGAAAAATTATTGACTAGTTTTGCCTTTAAAATATCATCTATTTGTTATTTGTTGTATATTAGGTTGAATTTACACTTGCGTTTGAAAGTAAGTGACATTGGAGAAACTAGATGCATCAATTTTAAATTGGACATACACATCGTGTTCTGGCCAAAATTGAAGAAATGCATCAATAATGAATCTAATCATTGATCTCTAGCTTTTAATGGACTATATCATAGAAAGAGATAGACTCATTTGATCATGAGTATATATATATATATATATATATATATATATATATATATATATATATATATATATATATATATATATATATATATATATAGAGGGACGGAGCCAAAGGGGGGCAGGGGGGCACCTGCCCCCCCTCACCCCACCCCCACCCCCACCCCCACCCCACCCCATATAATTTTTCTATGTATATATGTATATATAGTATAGGTTTTAGTATTAGTATAAAAAACTAGTAAATATTAACAAGTGAGGAGCTAGATTAGTTGGTAGGGCATGTGTTTGGTTATGGGAAAGGTCTTGGGTTCAAATCCTTCCATTAAAATTGTTTTACATATTTTTGAGTTCTTCCCCTGTGGCTTCAACACAGTCACTTTTTTAATATGTGTAATTTATAATGTGTTTTCTATTTCAAATTATTTTATCAAATTAATTATGTTTTATATTTTGTTATGAACATTTTTATAAAGTTTCGATGTGTTTTATTTTTCGCACATATCCAATAATATTTACAACTATATTTCTTAGGTAATGGTTATAAAAAAAAAATCTTAGGTAATTTATTAATTTTTTTTTAAATCACCTCTTTTGTATTTAATGTTTCGCTTTTACTGGAAAAATTTCTAAATCTGTCCTACTTCTTCGCCTCCCCCTCAGTCGAATTTCTGGCTCTGTCCCTATATATATATATATATATATATATATATATATATATATATATATATAATCGTAACCAGGTGCAACCTAGCCTTAATCTGCGAATCTGTGAACTACTAAAAGATTGCACCGCAAATTATTACGTGATTGCACCGCAACGATTCCCAAACATGCTGGAGGACATTTACATTGCAATCAAATTCGTGTTGTGCAATCATGTAGTAAGTGATTCAAATTTTTATTTACTATGGAGTATTAAACAAAGTGAATGGGGTGGTGCAACAGGTATTGCAGCAAGAGTTTCAGCCCCATCCCCAGCACCAATAGAGAGTGAAGGGGGCGAAGAAAGTCTATGCGAAAGGCTGAGTGGATCGTGGTCTGGTCAGTGCTTCGTTACCGGCAACTGTGACGACCACTGTAGAAATTATGAGGGTGCGGTATTCGGGGCTTGTCACTGGAATGGCTTTTCAGCATTTTCTTGCTTCTGCTATTTCAACTGTTAGTAGCCAGAGAATGAAATGAAATGAAATAATATAATACTCCGTTACGTTGTCTATATAATTCCACTTCCACTTCTTCATGTATGTCTGTAGTAATCATATGATATGATATCAAATAATATATCTTTTGTGTCTCTTCTCGATCTTGGCATTCTTTCTGCCCATTAGAGGGAAGCAAATTAGAATCTTGCTATCACTTGCCATTAAAATACCATGTCTGAATTTGACAATGATGGATAGCGTGCATCCATAGCTGCTTGCAACTCGTCCATAAAATTCAGTTTTATGCGACTTTCAAGAAATTTTCCTGTTCACACCTTTTAGCTAGTTTCTGTGCCTTTTCTTCAAACTTCACATGATTTTCTTCTCATCAAGTTTCTCATATGTTACATTTGGTATCAGAGCTTTAAGGGTTGTTTCTTTCTATGGTCAACCCAATGGCCCTATAATATCAAGTTAGATGGCTTCAAGATAGATTTATGGAGCTAGAAGGACGAATAGACAGTACCAAGTAGCTAGCTTAGGAGGTAAATGATGACATCGATGGGTTGTTGAACCAGATGTCAGAGTTGCTTAATTGAGGCAATACGAACGAATATGATATGATATTCCTACTCCTCCATCTTATCTTAACAATAATAAAACTATATTCCTCCCAAATGCTCTGTCAGGCCGGGGTGTGGGGACCCTTAAGGTTGGGGTTCAGCCTTGGAAGAATAATAAAACTATATGGTTTGAGAAGTAATTAATGTTACAATTAATGCCACAACATTCTTTACTATTAAAAAAAAAAACATAACATTTGAAAAATAAAATAGCTATATATTATATAATCATATAAAAATGTACTCTTGAAAAATAAAATAGCTATATATTATATAATCATATAAAAAATGTGTTCAATTAGAGTTTAAATTTACTCATACAAAATTTGAAATTTGCTTTCCAAATGTAATTATCTTAGTTATTATTCGTATTGTGAAAATTATAATATAAATGAAATACAATTAAGCATAAATCAATGTAATTATGTAAATTCTCTCTATAAGTTTATTTGAATATGCACATAATTAGAGATTATATTAATCATACAAAATTTTAATTGTAATTTTGTATTCTGTAAAAATAATAAATACTTGATCAATGGAAGCTCAAAAATATTATTATATTAAACAATTTAAAATATTTTAGTTTTTCTATTTTTTATTTATATTTATAATAACATAATTTTTTTCCGTGCATCGCGC